GCCAAAGCAGGTTGGCCTCTGTTCCTCGTGGGTTAACAGCATCAAAAGGAAAAGAAATGGGAGACATGGAGTAGGAGGAAATAATGTCTCGAGCTTGGGAACGAGGAATAGAAAATTGTTTATGGAGTTGTTTAGCACTCTGGTGAAAAAAGGAATGACTGTCAATAGGATTAGAAAAAACAGAATACAAAGCAGAGTCTGCATGATGATTTCCTTCTGAGATAGCATCCTGGAATCCAGTATGAAATGGATTGTGAGCTGCAAAAAAGGGTGGTGATTTATCAGCAAGAAGGTTTTTTTAAAGTAGAAAAGGGTTAAAACGCATGTCAGCAACACAGTCTGAAAAAGCAATGTGATTAGTCAATGAATAAGCCTTGGAAATAGGTAAGGAACAACACAGAAGATCCCAACCTGTGAGGCAACTGGGGGTTGTTTAAGACAACCAGCTGCAGGGGATAAAAAATAATGCAATGTACCATGGTACATCGCAACGCTGCATTAATTTGGTGTATGGTATGTTTTATACCCTTTATGATTTGCATGGAGTCAGCAGGAGATTGATGTCCCTGGAGTGCGTTAAATAAAGATTGTAATTCATGTATGGAAAGACACAAAAATGGACGAGTCCACTTTAAGTGCCCAAGGAACTGTTGCAACTGCAGTAATGTAAATTATGATGGAGTCTGTAGTTCTGGTAAATGTAGTTTCCAGCAGTTTGTGTCCCAGATATGAAGATGGAGGTGTTGTTTGTACCCTCTCTGGAGCTATGTGAAGGCCTTTTTTCTCTAAGCAGTTAGCCAGAGAAAAATAGACAGTAGTGGAGAGGGCTTGCCCTGCCACCAAAATGCCATCCATGATATACAAGCAATTCAGGGTATTTTAGATGAAATTGATATAAAGCTAGATCCACAAAATGCTGACATAAAGTAGGAGAATTCAACATTTCCTGTGGCAAGACTTTGCACTGGTACAGTATCTTTGAGTAGAATGGGAATTGTTGTACACAGGGACTATAAAAAGCATTTTTTTCCTGTCTTGTGGTGCTAAAGAAATGGTGAAGAAACAGTCCTTGACATCCACTGTCATCAACTCAGATGTTGTGGAATCAAAATTGGATTAGGCAAGCCACATTTTAAAACGCCCATAGGTTGAATGCACTTGTCAACTCCCCAAATGTCATGTACTGGCTGGGTGGCATAACTTTTTGGCCAGTCTTTCTTTAGAATAAGACCTACAGTGTTCATGCAGTGGTTCATGATGTGCTGTTTTGACTTTGTAGATAGGGGGAGGGAATTGATAGTAAACCGCTTGAGCTGTGATCATTTTCTGACTAGTACTTTTAACAGTCACAGGATGGATTTCTTGAACTGGGGTACTATTTACTGAGTTCCCCTCACTTGAATTCTCATAAACATTGTGTCCTTGGTTGTTATGTACCACAGAACAAGCAGACATCAGTGGGAGGGCATCTGCAAGGTCCTGTGAATTGCTTTTAGTCATAACAGTAGATAGCATTTGCTGCATTGCTGGGCCAGGAGGGAGTGAAGGGGGAGAAGGGGGAGAGGGGAGGGAGAAAAAGGGACTGTAGCGACAGAGATGTAGACAGAGATGGAGGCTGCATTGGAAGGGAGGATGCTTCTGTTTTCGTGGTGATCAGGGGATCTGGAGGGGGAGAATTTGGGGGTTTGTTGAGAGATTATCTAGGGACTGATTTAACAGAGGGTTTGTGAGCTTTGAAATCGCATTCCTACAAAGATGCCATGTGTTGAGAATTTTATTAGAAACCCCACATTTCTTGTGAAGCTCATCTCCAATTTTGTCCCAATCTGAAAGCTTATAGCTTTCTCCTTCCTTATAAAAAGGGCAATAAATATGTATTTGCTTCAATAAATCCTCCACTACTTGACCATATACGGAATGATAATCTTCTCTGCACAGGAGATAAATTAACTCCTGCATATGTCTGTCCAGAAAGGGCATTCCTCATCATGTTTGTTTAAACTGAATGCTCACCAGGGATCATCCGGAAACCCTTGCCCGGCGAAAGCAAGCAGTGTTGATTGCCTGTACCTCAGGCAATGTTGATTTCCCTTTCAAAAGTCTGTTTGAAGCCTCTGATGGCTTATTTTCTGAGCCTGTTTGGTTGATTTGCCTGTTTGAGTGCCTCATGTTGGGCGCCAGATGTAGTGATCACAAAACAAAAAGGCTAATGGTTTAGGTGATCACAGAACAAAGAGAAAGCAATTAACTTTAGAGACAACTTAATGAGGAGAGTCCACACAGATGTCCGCCAGCAGAGTCCCTAAGTGGACGCCCAGAGAACTCCCTTTTATTAACCTTATAAAGCTTATAGATTGCTGAAAGGATTCAGATAGGACACTAGTTACCTAATGGCCACTTAGGATTGGCCGGAGAAAGCCTTTGATCTTATGCTGTAACTCTAAGGGAAAATAGGCAGAATGAGTGAGTCACCCCTCCCCATCAGGAGCCACTGTCACTGTGCCAGGAGAGTGTGCTCTGCACTGAAGAACACATAACAGCTTAGCAATCTTGAGGAGAGTGCTCCCACATCTGACAGATGATAATCATAGAATAACTGAGTTGGAAGGGTCCAATCCCCTGCTCAAGGCAGGAATCTATATCAAAGCAGATCTGACAGATGGCTGTCCACTTTTCTCTTCAATGCCGCCAGCACTGGAGCGCTTACCACCTCTCAAGGTAATTGGTTCCATTGTTGTACTGCTCTAACAGTTAAGTTGTTTTTTTTCCTGATATTCAGCCTAAATCTGGCTTACAGTGTTTGTGACAAGGGGATTTTCTCCCCTTGTATTGAATTTATGAATATGTGCAGAGCTATTTTGCTGAATTCCAGTCCAAATCTTGACAATGTTCCCAATCTCCTGAAACATGTCCCAGATAGACGGCAAAAGGGAATGCCTTTCTGCAGATGGTGTCAAGAAGAAGCAGAGAGGAAGGCTTTATCCAACAATTTATTTTTCTTTTGCCACTATCTTTGTTGGCAGCTTTTGTGGAATGTACTTTAAATAACTGAAATGCTTGCTATTCCAGAAGAACTCTTTGACGTACATGTTAGAAAGATTATTAAACATTGTCTTCAGAACTCCAAGTGACCTAGTTAACTTAAAAACACCTCTCCTGAATCCTAATCTTGAGCCGGTGAGTAGGAACAGAGAAGCTAAAACTCATCACCCATCCATCTCACTGTTCCTCCTCCCCCCCACCCATTTACCACCAAATTCCGCTTCTCTCTCTCTCTCTCTCTCTCTCACACACACACACACACACACATACACACAAACACAGAGAGAGAGAGAGAGAGAGAGAGAGAGAGAGAGAATATCCATCTATATGTCTCATAAAACAATAGCATCTTCTAAGCTTTTGATAAAGAGGTAAGGAAACTTTGGGCCTGTCAAGACATATATATATATATAGATTGGTATTTGGATCACTACTGGTACAGTTTGTTTCAAACTAAATTACAGCATCCACACATTTTTCTACTTATATTGACCCATCCTGAGTTGTAACACACCTTTCTGACACAACACTAGGGCTTCTTTTCTGGGGAGGGGTATACACAGACTTCTATTTATCTGTTGTGTACCCTGTGCAGATGGCTAATTCACACATAAATGGACCTGTGGATGGTGCTATCTGTGGTGACAACACTGTGACATGTTAGGTGGGTTGTGACAGTAGAAGGGGCGATGGAGAAACCCACTCCTCTATTTTTGTAATCTCTTTTTAATTGCTTAACTGATGTGGTGCAATTGTAATACTATGGCATGTTGATGCATTTCATTCTAAAAATCACCAGACCTGCTGAATGACAGCTACAAGAAATGGCAGGGAAGGGGGTTAGTCAACTGCATGGGCTACACCCTCACAAGGCAGCACAGCCCTGGCTGAGGAGAAAGGTGGGAAAAGGGTGGGTAATCTCCCTTCCATATCTCCAACCTTGATCCCACTATTTTCTCCTCATGCCACTGCTATCCTTGGTGGCTGTTGCTGCCGCATCCTTACTCATGAGTAAACTGAATAAACTTACATGCAGATAAATTGGGTAAATCTCCCTCATGGGTATACAAGGTAAACCTTGCCTGCAGGTAAACCCCGCTCATGAGTAAACTGGCAATCCAAAGACCTGTGTGGATCCTTCTCATGGTAACAAAACATCTCCAGTATGAACAGGAGGATTACTTACATGAGAGGTAAAATAGGTTGCACTGAAGACAAAAACCTTTTCAGTGTGAACCAATCAGCATCAAATTCCCCTGTCTGGGCAGTTCCCTTGCATCCTTTATTCTTTATGTGGTATACGACTTTAAAGGAAGTTTTAACTTTTTATTGCTTCCTGTTCAGTTTAGGTTGATGTTTCATTATTAATGGTCCTTTACTGGGCTTTTGATCCATATTGGGGAGCACTATAAGTTTATTTGTTTGTTTGTCTTAATTGGTTTGCTTAATAATATGTGAGTAAACATGATAATAGTTTTTAGGCCACAGAGAAGAGTTCTGGTAGCTAAATGGGTCCTTTTTAAGGCGAAAGGCAGGCTAAAATATTTTAAACCAACCAGAGAGACAAACAGACAGACAGACAGACAGACAAATAAAACATAGCAGTATCCTGAAGCTGAGGCTCCAATATTTTGGCCATCTCATGGTAAGAGAATACTACCAACATGAATTTGTCCAGACTCAGGGAGGCAGTGGAAGATAGGAGGGCCTGGCGTGCTCTGGTCCATGGGGTCACGAAGAGTCGGACACGACTTAACGACTAAAGAACAACAAAAATAGTGCCACCTGTGAAAAAAAAATACTAATGTAAGTAAATGAAGACCAAGAAATCATAGGACATAAAATGCAGAAGGCTATAATCCTTCAATAATATAATGAAAAATGGAAAGTAAAAATTATTACATAATAAATAAATGGGGGGAAAAGGGCAGGGAGAAGAACCTATTGGCTAAAGAATCTTGGAGACGAGTGTGGATGCAATCGAACATCATTTTCTTGAGCTGCCTCATTCTAGGAGAGAAGGAAGAAGATGATAATACCACTTAGAATCACCATTTTAATGCCTCTTCCAGGTTTTTGCAGAATAGAGTCTTGGTATGGAAACAGACACAGTCACTTCTTATTCCAGAACTGTTGTATTGCTTGTCTCTGAACTATCCCAGAGGAAACAGGCAGAGGAAATGGAATTAAATTCATAGATCTTTCTGCAGCAACTTAACACCAAACTGTTAATGGTCAAGTTCATAACCATAACATTAAGTATTAAATATTATATGTATTTGTTCTCATTTCTTTCAGGGTCAGTTTTGTGACTATTGTAACGCTGCTGATCCCAACAAAGCTCATCCAATAAATAATGCTATAGATGGGACAGAACGCTGGTGGCAAAGTCCTTCCCTCTCTTTAGGTTTGAAGTATGATGAAGTTGATGTTACTCTAGATCTGGGACAGGTAAGTTCAAGTACTGTAGTTTTTAAATTATACTACTGACTATTATGTTATTGTCAGTATTCTTTATCTGCGGTCAGTATAGTGGCTCAAAGTGAGATGCCAGCTGTTTCATGTTGAGACTTTCCATGTAAATGGTGCATAAGGGCAGTATACACATCACAAGAAGAAAAACTATTTAGTAATAGATAAATATGCCTTTTTGACAAATGTTGATTGAATTATGTACCAAAAACTGCATTGTGATATTTTGTGTTCATTGGCTAAATATTAAAATAGCTTAAGGTTAGGATACTACTCTTTTTTTTATTACCTTACATTTCAGAACAGGAATAAACCATCTGCAAAAGTTTATCTGGACTCTACATCTGGGAGGAAGAACTGTTTATTAAAAACTGCCACCCCAGGGCACTGATTGCTTTTGAATGCCTCAAAACATTTGGCAGGCAAAGTACTTTCTGTTCCGGCAAATTTTTTGTAACTGAACAGGATGCAGAGAAAAAAAATTTAATGGAGAAAACTGTACTTCTCTCTCTTTCTCTTTTCAAAAGATACACCTCTTCTCTGTTTGTTTGTTTAGGCTTTTAATGTTTTTTAATTCTTTAAAGTTCATGGCCTTTTATTATACGCTTAGTTGCATTTTTCATATTGTAACATAGGATCACAGAATAATGGAGTTGGAAGGGACCCCTAATGCCATTGAGTCCAGCCCCCCTCAGGAATCCAAATCAAAGTATATCTGATGGTTGTCTGATTTTTCTATTGAAAGCTTCCAGCGTTGGAAACTACCTCATCACCTCATGAAGTAGTTGGTTTCATTGCCATACTCCTCTAACAGTTAGGAAGTTTTTCCTGATATTCAGCTGCAATCTGGCTTCCTGTAACTTGAGCCCATTATTATATGTCTTGCACTCTGGGGTGACTGAGGACAGATTCTACCCCTCTTCATATTTTTCTCCAGTCTTCGTTTCTCAAGGCTAGATATGGCCCGTTCTTTCAGTCTTTCCTCACAGGGTTTGGTTTCCTTGTTGCCCTCCTCTGAACTTGTTCCAGTTTGTTGGCATCATTCTTATACTGTGGTGTCCAGAATCGGACACAGTATTCAAGATGAGACCTAACCAGTGCCAAATAGAGGGGAACTAGTAGTTCACGGGATTTGGTATACTTCTATTAATGCCTAAAATAGCATTTTTGTTTTTGTAGCCACATCACACTGTTGGCTCATATTCAGCCTGTACTCTACAACAATTCCAAGATCCTTCTCAGCTGTAGTATTACTGAGTCAAATATCTCTTGTAAATGTTTGGTTCCCCTCTCCCCCAGATGTAGAGCTTTGCACTTATCCCTGTTAAATTTCATTCTGTTGCTCTCACCCCAGTGCTCGAGCCTATCAAGATCTTTTTGACTGTTGTTTCTGTCTTCTGAGGCAGTGGTCCCCAACCTTGGGCCTCCAGATGTTTTTGGACTACAACTCCCAGAAGCCTTCTCCACCACCTCTGCTGGCTAGGATTTCTGGGAGTTGAAATCCAAGAACATCTGGAGGCCCAAGGTTGGGGACCACTGTTCTAAGGCAGTGGTTCTTAACCTTGGGTTACCCAAGTGTTTTTGGACTGCAACTCCCAGAAGCCTTCACCACCAGCTGTGATGGCTGGGGTTTCTGGGAGTTGCAGTTCAAAAACACCTGAGTAACCCAAGGTTAAGAACCACTGTTCTAAGGTATTAGCTATTGCAACCAATTTTGTGTCATCTGCAAATTTGATAAGTATCACTCCTCCTTGTTTTCTGCATGCCACTACACAAGTCAATCATTCAAGTCATCAATAAAAATGTTGAAGAGCACCAGGCCCAGGACTGAGCCTTCTGGTGCCCCACTTGTTACCTCCTTGCAGTTTGAGAAGGAGCTATTGCATTCTCTGAGTCAAATTCTGCAACCAATTCTGTATCTACCTGACAGTTGTTCTATCTGGCCCATACCTAGTTAGCTTGGTAATCAGAATATCATGGGGCACTTCCTCAAAACCTTTGCTGAAGTCAAAAGAGATGTCTTTCTATCACCATGGTCTGCTTTACATGCTTCAGCTGGAAAGAGGAAGGAGATGCCTCCTCATTCAGACTGCTACCCAGGAGTCACTCCACTAGCTCCATGGGAAAGATAGCCATTGCACTGGGGCAACTCCCAGGTGATGCAGATGGTAGCAGTAGAAAGATATTTATTTTGCCTTCTAGTTTCTTTTCTTCCAGCCCCAGAAGTCTGCCTGGAGAATTCTAAGCAACTTCTGTATCTGGATGTCTTAGAATTCTGGAAGTACCATCCCTACTAGCTTATTCTCAGTTCTAGTTTTTAAAGGCCACTTCTAACTTAGAATCACAGAACTGTAGAGCTGGAAAAGACCCTAAGGGTCAACTTACTTAAATAACCCAAATAGTAATTGTTTTGTTTTGCTTTATTTTTACTTCAAAAATTCTTCTGAATGTTACAAGCTTTCTGTCTTTTGCTATGGAACCCCTGTGAGGGACCTACACACAGATCATTTGTTCTTTTTAAAGTACTGTACCAGGTTCAACACTTTGTGTTACTAGTATTTCTCCTGTCATCCATAGGAGGCCCATTCATCCAGTAATTTATCCTCTGACTTTCCTCTTTAAAAAAAAAAACAAATAAAGCAAGGGTAGTTTTTATAATAATATCAGTTAATGCCAGGACCAGTACTAAGGTAGCAACAACATCCATGTTGAATGCTTTCAAAACCACTGATCAAAAACAAAAATCCAGCCAATGAGCTTCATTATTAAATATTTCCTCAAGATTTCTTTAAGTTTTTCAAAGAGCTTTCAAAAAGAGATGCCGATTTTGAAAAATCAAAAAACAGAAGTGGAGTTGACTTTACTGTGCCCTCTCATTTTGATTATTCTATAGTCATGTACCCAAAGCAATTATAAATGAATATTGTGGTTACTGTAGTCTATAGTACAGATTAAATGGATACAGACAGCAAATTAACTGTGACGTCGTTGTTGTTCCCTTCACTGATAGAATTGTTTAATAATTGAACTACTTAATACTTAAAGTATGTTTGAATGTTTTACTTCTGGGATTTCCTGCAGCTTCAAGAGCTGAATTCCACTGCATGTAGCAGCTCTCGTACCCACAAGCCTGGCATATTTACCTCAGCTGTGGTGGAAGCAGCCATATGCATGTACTTATGAGACTTGTGTTGCTTTTCTTTCCCTGTGGCATCCTGTTTTATCCATCAAATCAAGTTAACATTGATCTTCTTTTTCTTTAATGGAATCTGCAAATGTTTACCAGAATTTTAAAAAATGATCAACAAACCATTAAGCCCCACTTAAGCCATGCCTTATTTTAAGACTGTGTTCTGTTTCCTTTCCTTCTTGTTTTCTGCATGTCACTACACAAGTCAATCATTATTTCTTGCCCACTGAATCCACTGACCATGGTTAATTCTAGAGACAAGCACAAATCAGAAAAATGGTAAAGTAATTTGTTTTGATTTTTGATTTGTCAAGGTTGATAAATCACATATTACAAATTTACAATCTTTTCTGATCAATTGATTTGTCAATTTATATTTGCCTTTAAAACCTTATAAAATGCCCCCCAGCACCTAGAGACACCAAAATCACAGAGAAACATCCCATGACTCACCTCTACAAGCCTGCAAGTTTGGTGAAGTTTTGATTTTGGACATCTGAGTTATACACCTACACCATGCCCCCTCCAGGAAAGTTCCTCCCAGGCACCTAGAGACATTAAAGTAACAGAGAAGCATCCCCTGGCTTTCCTCTACAATCCCTCCAAGTTTGGTGAAGACTGGGTTTCAGACATCCAAGTTAAACACCCCAAAATGGGTCCCCCAAGGAAAGTGCTCTTTATCGGAGAGTAATGGAAACGTTCTCAGTGATTTTGGTGTCTCCAGGTGCATGGGGGGAACTTTCTTGGGGAGGGCTCTCTTTGTGGGTGTATAATCTGGACATATGAAACCCAGTCTTCACCAAATTTAGACGGATTGTAGAGGAGAGTCAGAGGCAGCTTATTTGCAATTTTGGTATCTCAAAGTGCTGGGGGGGGCTTTTATAGCCCAACAAACTGACAAATTAAAAAAGCTACAAATCCATTGATTTGTATTCATCAGGGGCATTGATCTGTATGAACGTGAATAGATGAATTTGCAGTTTTTGCAGTTTGTGCAATTCATTTTTCAATTGGTGCCCATCCCTAGTCAATTTTCATCAAACTGGTTTTGTAGCTCTCCCTTTCTATAATTCTTGTTTTAAATAATTTTTTTGTCCATGTGTACAATCTTTAGGATTCCTTTAAGTTTAGAAAAAAATCTTAAAGTTTTTAATAGAGAGGGCCCTAATACTTTCCTGGGTGTGGATAGTGCAAAACTGAATTAAAGTCTTATTGTCAGCATATGCAACTGGGACCTGCAACAGAATGTTACAGCATAAAATTCTCCTGTTTGGGTGTCAAGTCAATTGATTCTACCTCCACTTCGTATAGTCAGTCAATATTCTACTACACAATTCAGCATGCTCACTCCTCACTGTGCTGGTTTTGGGGTCCCATCCATTAATGGCTTAAGGCTAAGAAAACTCTCAGTGGAATGCTGAAATGCTTTAAAAGTTTAATGGTGTACTTTTGAAAGTTTCAGGGGGTATTTTGGGGGTTCATTGAGCTTACTGATGCTTCCTCCCTGTGAATGAATTGTGACATTTCAGGTGCATAAACTTGGCACTTGGAGAACGGAGACTGTTGTTGCTCTTCTCTTATTTGTACTTTGCTTTCCCTCCTGAAAGTAACCACCAAGGGGTAACAACAAATGTAACAGAATCAGTACAGAAATACAATACTGCAATCAATCTAAGCATAATCATTGTCGTTTAGTCGTGTCCGACTCTTCGTGACCCCATAATACATTTATTTAAAATATTTGTATACCACCCTTCTTCTAATGATAGGAAATTACTTACAGAATGTAATAAAGAGAACAATCATCCTAATAAAATCACAACAAAATGCAACAATAATAGGAACAAGGAACAATTGGCATAACAAAATCGATAACAAAATGTGACGGGAGTCTCGTGGCGCAGTGGTTAATCTGCAGTACTGCAGCCAAAACTCTGCTCATAATCCCAGGTGGCTGGTTTGAGGTTCATTCGGCCTCCATCTTTCTGAGGTTGGTAAACTGAATACCCAGCTTTCTGGGGAGGCTGGGGAGCAATGTGTAGCCTGCATAATTAGTTAAGGCAGAAAAAAAATGCATTCCGCTGGATATGGAATAATTATACTCAAAATAGGTAAAGGTTAAGGTTCCCCTTGACAATTTTTGTCCAGTCGTGTTCGATTCTAGGGGGCGGTGCTCATCCCCGTTTCCAAGCCATAGAGCCAGCGTTTGTCCGAAGACAATCTTCCGTGGTCACATGGACAGTGCGACTTAGACACGGAACGCTGTTACCTTCCCACCAAGGTGGTCCCTATTGATCTACTTGCATTTGCATGCTTTCGAACCGCTAGATTGGCGGGAGCTGGGACAAGCGATGGGAGCTCACTCCGTTGCGCTGATTCGATCTTACGACTGCTTGGTTTTCTGACCCTGCAACACAGGCTTCTGCGGTTTAGCCCGCAGCGCCACCACGGCCCCTACTCAAAACAGACCCATGGAAATCAGTGGGGCGAATGAATCCTAGTTGACATGTTGAATCCTAGTTGACTTGTGATTTCAGTGAGTCTGCCTTTTCTGTGACAATTTCTTAAAATCTGGGAAAATCTCCCTTTTTGGACCACAGCTGCTAGACTCCCTCCCCACATCAGGATGGCATCATTTTCCCAGACCACTAGTGACAGGGGAACAAGGAGTTGGATTTCTGGACTGGAAGTGCCTCTGCCTGTGCCTGCTTATGCTTGCCTTTGCTGCTCTTATAATATTTAAATGGACATTTATTTGTTTTTTTCCCCAAATAACTAGATCGGTTGCTTTTTATTTCTCTCATGCAAGCGCAAATAGTTATTGTGCTGTTGAAATATTTGGGCTCCATTATAAAGTAATCATTAAAGTATGAACAATTAGAGGAAAGGGACTGCAAAACCCACACCAAAACCTTTTCAAATGCATTGTTCCTCTTATTCTTTTTGTGATTACCTTCCTTCCTACACAATGAATGTAAGATTTTAGAATGTTTTAAGTGCCAGGAAGCGGTGCAGAATAAAATAGACTAGCTTCACTTTCTTACAGGGAAAGATTAAATGCCTTGTAGGCTTGCAAACATTTTGTATGGAGTTGCTGGGAAACAGGAGCCAGTGATTTCAAAGAGTATTGTTAAGCCTTTTCTCTGATCATGACAAATGTTGGTACTAGCTGTTTGCAGATACTTAAGGAGAGAGTAGTAGAAGCAACAGATCTCTGCAGCAGATAGCAAAACTATTGATCCTAAGTTAAATGGTAAAGAAAGTCCTATTTTGATAAGAACCATTTCAGCCCACAGACTTTCACCTACAGACAGCTCATAAACCCTGTGTTTTTCTTTGGTTTTAGATTCAAATTTTGTCCCTTTGCTCCTCCTAAAAATTCTTATTAGCATAAGGTGAACAATATTTCAGGTTTTCTTCCCCTTGCACTCAGTTTTTTTAAAAATCCCAGCCTCCAGGCTTTCAGGCTCCAGCGGTATTTGCCCCCTTCCTTAAGGAGAGGTGTATGTTCATTGGTACGCATGCAGTTCAGCCCACAGGGCGAATGTGGTGGTTGATTTAATGATTATTTTAAGTATGAAGGGGGCCGCTTTTGTTTCATGTAGGATTTCCAACATGATGGCAGATTTGTTTGATTCATTTACATCCTGATTTTCTCCTTGTTCAAGGACCCAAGGCAGCTTACATGATGATTTTTTAAAAATCAGCATACCCACAATGTTTTAATATAAAAATGCCTTTAAATGTAGAGATAGATAACTTAAAACAGTTCAAAATGCTATTATTCCCACATTAGCAATCTTACATGTAATGAAGGCAGTCCTTGTGATTCAATAAGTTTTAAATTATATCAGGTTTTATCAAGGGGGCAGAAGCAACCTCATAAATTCCACCAACTCTTTATATATTCAGAAATGAATGTCTGAAGCTGGCTAATGTCACTCTGAAATAAGAACTGTGATGTTTCTCTATGCGGTTCCTAGAGGCAAGATATTTTCTTCTAGGTACACATTGGGAAAAGTTTTCCTTTTTTAGATGACAACTCCCAGAATCCAACAATCAGCAACCTCTCATTGTGGTTGTGAGAGTGTGACAGCTGTGATTAAAAAAAAACTTTACTGACTGTCCAGGTAGAAGGTTTGCTAAACACACACAGAGAGACACATAAATTCATAGGTGAAGTTGGAATTTTCTTATATTGTGGACACTGGATACACTTCATGACTGTTGAATAACAATTTTGCATTGTACAGTACATCTTTATACAAAGAAGATTAAGGAACTTCCTTCAAAACTTTTTTTGGGGAAGTTTCTGCAACTCTTTTAAGTGACTTGATTCTTTTTCATATTAGTAAATGCTGGATTCTAACATTATTCCACTAAATTCTGCTCTGTCTTGACCTACATTCCTCTTGTTTTCAGTGGAATTATGTTAGATTTCCATTGCCCCTGGCAAAGAATTGCAAATGTACAGAAGTGCATGCAAAGACATGTATACTCCTGTACATCTCCATAACCTTAAAAGGCTGTCAGTGCCAAAATGTGTAAGAAGGATATGACTTTGAAATATTTAAAAGGATGTCAGAATTAGCACTGATTGATTCAGGCTCCAATAGATTTATGCTAATATTTGGAAAACCAATTATCAGAGTAGTAGAAACACTACTGAGGGCATGGTACGATATGCTCCTTTTTAAGCAATGAAAAGCACTACTAAAGACATGGCGAGATATGCTTCTTTGCTGACTGACAAAAAAAGATTGTGCAAATAGCTCTTGAAGATCATTTTGGTATAAATTACTTAGTCTACACTATACTGCACTTGATCTTAGCCAAAGTGTATGGTTGGCAGGTAGATTAAATGTTGTGACAAGTCCCTTCTAGGTATGTAATTATCTTAACTTTGTGTACTATATCTGCTTATTGATTATCAGGTCTCAAGCTGATGACATTTTGGAATATATTGATTGAAATCCCCTTGTTTAGCTTAAGCCTGCAGGAGGGTGGTGATGTTACTGGCAATAAATTATTTTTTGTAATTAAAAACATCCTAATTCTGTCCTATGGCTTGTCTGCCTTCTCTGCAATCCCTTCATTTTGTAAAACTGTGGGAGCCATAGGACCGAAGGGGGGAATGTCTTTATTTACCAAAATTTGACCACCATTGGTGACCTCACCACCTTTCCACAGTATAAATGATATAGAGGGATTTTAGCCATCATTTCTGTTTTACTGTATTAAAAATACTTAAAATGTGATTGTCTACATCACCTCAGCAACCATGTGTTGGTAACAATATTTTACCACTTTTCCAACACTATGTTAAGTATGGAATATGCTGTAAAACCTATTGTTAATGTGGATGTAATCCACAGCCCACATTAACAACCAATAATCTACAGATTTTACAGAATAAACATGGGCTTTGTGATGGTACTAAGAATATACATATATGTATATGTTTTAAAAAAGAGTACTATCTTCATGTTGTGTGGTGCAATCATTTTCCTTCTGGGAAACTGGTATCTAGAAAGGTGTTATGAGATTACAGTATTAATATTTCTAAATTTTGGATGTTCATGCCTGTTATTCTGGAAAACGCAAACCCTTTTTTCCTCCTATCGTTGCATTTTTTCTCTCCAAGCAGGGAAAAAAACTGGATTGAAATAGGCTTGGGAGGTCATTTGCAGTGAGAATCGGATCACCAGGGAAAGATAAAGGACCCCACCCTATCCTTAAAATTCCCCCATGCAAATCCATCCCCAGTAATGTCCAAGGGGACTCTGTCCCTTGCTTTTTTTTCCTGACTAAATTCCTTTCCTTCCAGAACTATCACTTGTACAATCTGTACAGACTGGGGGATGTTGCATTACCTCTTCTACTGTGTTGCAATGCAGCAGTCTGTGTGTTGCCTATCACTCACTTATCCCTAATCTTACAGGTCAGACTTGAAAAGGAAATTTTGACATGGACATGATGTTCCCTGTAGTCATGGCTGGCCCTGAAAAATTAAGCAACCTGCCTCAGGCAGCTCTGAGAAGAACTGCAATATAGATAAAGGCAGGAACTGGTGTCTAAATGCCATTGGAAGACTGTTTAAGATGTCGCTCCTAGAATTCTGGGAGTTGGAGCACCATTTGGCTTTCATTCAAGAAGCACAATGCTGTGAGTGCTACAGACAATTTTGCAGGTTAATAACTCGTAAGGATGAAAAACCACAAATGTGGAGTATGTTCAGATGCGACCTGAGTGAGTTTTCCTTGGCTTTCTTGGGTCTGCAGTCACCTGGAGTTTTCTAATCTGAACCAATCATTTTCCTTGTACTTCTGAACATTACTGATTTAAAGAAAGACTGGGGCATTCTTCAGGTTTCTGGGGTCTTTTTAGCTATTCTAAAAAAAGAACTTAGTTACTCTGAAATCCTCTGACTGAAAATCTAGTACAGTATTAAAGAATGTTGAGTCTAGAAATGTGTTTGAGTATCCAAAAGAAATAGAACTCATAGACCTTCTATGTATAAGTCCATTTCTGGCTGCCTCAAGCTTTCTTCATTTAAGCAGTATGATGGGGGGCATCATTTTGTTGTTTATTAATTTTAAATAATTGGAGTAAAACAATCCTTGCTCATCTACTGCAAATCATTCAGACTTACCTTTTACCCACCTCTGTTTCAAGGAGCCTATTCCTATTTGGCAAGACAGGAGGAAGACAGGCGGGCCTGGCGTGCTCTCGTTCATGGGGTCACGAAGAGTTGGACGCGACTATGTTACATACAGCACTGATGTTACCTGTCTGTCATGGGTTTGGAGGGAAAGTTCCATCCTATGGGGAGTGGAAGGCGGGACATCAGGAGGAGGGGCTGTACTGTATATATATGTGGAGTTTGTGTGGAGAAGTTAGGAGAAGAAGGAGAAGCTGAGAGGAGAAGCTGGAAGAAGAAGCTGGTGTGGGAGTCAGACAGGGTACTACTGTGTGTCAGTCAGTACCTACCTGATAGGTTCAGGTGTCTTTATGGGTAGCCAGAACTGATAGGTTCAGGGTCTGTGCTTTATTTAAAGGTGTTCTGTGTGAACCAAACTGGTGTATGTATGATTGAGACTAAGCCACGTTACTGTATCTTATTCACTTGATCATTTTATTTTCCCTGTGTGTTATTTGAATAAACCTTATTCTTTTATTTGTTGAAAATCCATTCCTGGTCTGTGTGACTCCTTACAGGGAATGGTTGGTGGCAGCTTAGTGAAACTGTGACATCTCCCAGTAGGTCTGGGGTTGTCACAGACTAAACGACTAAACAACAACATTCCTATTTGAGTCAAATTCAAATTCTGCTCTGCAACTACCTCCTTGCGAGAAAGTATAAGAATCCTGTTTCATTATGAGTGGTTGCTGTGTTTTTGCTCAATTTTGAGTGCATTTTGATGAGCTTTAGTAGAAGTAAATGTTGCAAAACTGAATAGATTTGGATGAATAATTCTTACTACACTGTTACTTTGTAACAATGAAGTTGGCAGGAAACTTAGTTCCATGAATCAGTCCAATGTGTACTTGGCTCCACTCCACAGGTAGTTGAGCTTTGCCAAAAGTGTGGCTGCTCTAGAATCTTAATATGTTACTGCCTTTTGTGTAAACAAGTTCCAACATGTATCAAAGGGTCATTGGGAAAAATGTATACCAGGTGGAAGAGATGGCCATCAGAATTCTGAGAATTCTGAGAGTTTGGCTGGTTGTCCAGCTGGTCCCAGTACTGCTTGTTGAGATTGGCAGCAGCTCTCTAAAGGCTTCGGCAGAGAAGGACGTTTCATATCACCTACCTCCTGTTTCTTGTTATCAGAGACTGAATTAGGGAAGTTCTGTATTCAAAACATATACTTTTCCATTCAGCTAGCGTACCTATCTAAGTATTACACTAAGTTGCCTTCTTGCAGTCTGAAATTCCATTTAATTTGCTAACTTCCTTCAGCCTGTTTGAAAATTGACAATGACTTGGAACACTGAACTACGTTGGTCTAAAGAGGAAGTGAAATGTGGACATGGTATTATTAATGCAAAGGCTGAGTGGAAGGAATCACCAGCATAGTACAGTAGTACAGGATTGCAATGCTTGTACAAATAGCAAATGTGTTTTCTTCATGGAGATCATTATTTGCACAGTGGTGAAACTTGCACAAGTGGTGTGATTCTGCATTGCGGTGCTGTTGGGACTTCCCATTCAGCAGATACTCAGGAGTGGTCTGCCGTAATTAAAATTCTGCTGTGGGCATATAGCCCAGCCATTCTGCTGGATGCCTGCCCCGTTGTTTTCTTGCAACTAATGTGAAATAATTTTCTCTTCATATTGTATTGTTGTTATGTGCTGTCAAGTTGGAACCAACTTACAGTGGCCTTGGTAGAGCTTTGAAGGTAAATTAGATATTTAAGGCATGGTCTTACCAGTTCCACAGCCCCAGAGAGCTTCTGTGTCTCAGTGGTGATTCAAACCCAGGCTTCCTTAGTCCTAGTCCGGCACTCTATCCTCTACATCACGTAGGGTATGTTTTAATGTTTATTTACATATGCTTTATTATCAGTTGTTTCATGTGGCCTATGTCCTCATCAAATTTGCAAATTCCCCTCGTCCTGATCTGTGGGTATTAGAAAGATCAGTAGACTTCGGAAGAACATATACACCGTGGCAATATTTTGCTCGTAAGTATTAATTTTAAAACTTTCAACATATCCTTTCAGTTTCAATAAACTGTCATATCCCAGATTATTTAAACTTCACTAGTAACCAGGGAAACCTATTAGATTCCTTTCCCTCCACATTAAAATTCTGTGAATTTTAGTCAGTTCTGGTGCGGGAAACTGACAGGCTCTCCTGTGCATGTCAGTGCTCACAAGGTGCCACTGTGCGTGTGAAGGCTTTTCTAATGCCAGCTTGCTCAGGTGTTTCCTATTACACTTCCCCCTTCTGGGTGCACACACCCAGAGTATACAGACACACACGCCTGTCTGCCTCTCTGAAGGGCTGGCCTTCTAGGTGCACACACCCAGAGTATACAGAGTATACACGCCTGTCTGCCTCTCTGAAGGGCTGGAGAGAGAGTGCATGTGTCTGGAGAGGGTGCCGTTTCAAAAACATTGGATTAAACATATGCATCCAATGGAATGCAAACTGCGATTTAAACATCACATGACTGCCATGTGATTAGGAGTTGATTTAACTCAATTTCACTTACAATGACACATATTCTGACCTACTGCTTTAATGTACAGAAGCCCTAAGAAGGATCAGAAACTACTATTGATCATGGAGGAAAATGGGAACTTGAACATGTAAACCCATGGTTTAGCATTATCTTTGAACCAGTTGTATGTCTCAATAACAATTTCAGTATAACATCAGATTTATCAATAATGTTTACTATCTTTTGTGATTTTTGGGGGGGCTTTAAGGCTGCAATCAAATAAAGAATTAGGTGCACATATGTCAGTTAAATGTTACAGGTGTAGACATGCTGAACTTTGCATAGGATCTAAAAATAGGTAAAGTGGTCACCTCTTTTACAAAATTCATGTGTGGGTGATTGTTCTTTCCCAAATGGGGCTCTGCTCTTTCATTGTCCTTTCTGTCACTCACACTCATCACAACAATCAGACTCTGTATGAGACAAATGACATTGTGGTACAACTTTGTGAGAACAACAGTGGGCCTTCTAGAGGTCAAGGAGAAGATTTTCACTTACCAAGGTAGTCCTCTCTTTAGTGTGAGCTGTGGTGATAGGTTGTACATTACTGCTAAATGCTAAGGCAAGAGACTTGTTTCGAAAACATCAGAAACTGAGATAGAGGTGATGGTTATGAATTTTTATTATTGTTGTTGTTATTAGATTCTAAGGCTGACTGTTGGGAACGTTTCAGAAAGGAACCAAATGTTCGTGTTACAAAGGATGATGATGTCATTTGCACTTCAGAATATTCTCGTATTATTCCTTTAGAGAATGGAGAGGTAAGTCATGGACAATAACAAAAATAATCCTATTTAGTGTTTTTTGAGTAAGGAAATAACCATGTATTCTTTTTAGCAATTATACCATAACAAATGTACAGTGTAAGACAAGAGACAGGTCTTCAAATACCAGTGAACAATCTACTTTCTATATGCACCCATTTCCCTCTCTAATCCATGACATTTGCTGTGAGCTAGATTGATGAAAGGAATTATCTAGGGATGAGTATATATGCTGGACTTACAGGCAGTTCTTCCAAGAACAGGTGGAAACCTCTCTCACGAGATGTCTTTCTCCTTCTTGGTGCTATACCATCAAGTTGATTCCAACTTATGTGGAAACCTCTCCCACGAGATATCTTTCTCCTTTGTGCTATACCATCAAGTTGATTCCAACTTATTGTGATCCTAACAGGGTTTTCAAGGTTTGTGAATGGTATATGTAGGCAACAGTTATTTTCAGACCTTAAAAACTACCCCCACTTGTCCTGAGGACTCCAATGACTTTCCCATGTTGAAAAGAATCCCTAGGGAGCATCAGAACCGGGGGGGAGGGGGAGAATTAGGAAGCTTTACACACTCTGAGGTGTGCGAACACAATACTTGTCAATGTTTTTTCTCTATTGGAGGGGTATTTGGTAGTAATACACACACTTACTGTTGTTGATCAAGCATCCGGTCAACTCTTAAAATAGTTTGGGCTACATTCAGTTTTAGACCAAACTACAATGGACCATTAAATCAATGAGTCATGTAATTGTTGAGTTTTCAAAGTTTCATTGATTCAGTGGGTCTGCTTTGTTTTGGAATAAAAATTACATTCTGGCTTGTAATTCCAAGAACCAAGTTCTGAGTTAGTGAAGCTCTTTATTCTTCAACAAGCTCTTGTTAAAAGAAGCTTTGAAGCACTTTCTCTAACCACTGGAAAAACCTGCTCTTGCTTATGGGGAAATTCCACACAAAGCTTTGTATTTTCCTACTGTCATAGAGAGCAGTTAATTAAAAGACCTACTTTGTTGTCGGCTGTCACTTACTTCATGAATCTTTGTGCTACATCTCAGAAATAAATGTATGTTGATCAAATCCTCTAGTGTTCACTTATTTTTTTAATTACATCACTCACAGATGGGTGAAGTTACTTTTGTCACCTGTACTTTCTAGAGTGCTCAAGCCAACATGGATGAAATAGGGAAGGTTCTCCCCGTCCTTCCCAGGTTACATTCCATGTATCTGAAGAAGTAGATGACAGTCTATTTGTCAATAAAACATAAAATATATTAAGCTTGAAGGTACCACAAGATTCCTTGTTAAAATATCATCACTCAATTAATCAGAATAATTGTGTTTTTACGTGTAGTATTCTCCATAATTTAGAGGGTAGCAGCACTGCATTTAGGGAGATGTAGCATGAGCTGACAGGAAGCAAGCAAAACTGACCATTGGAAAGATGAAGAACTGGCTGGGCTTATGCACAGTTGCAAAGCCCCTATTGTGCAAATTTTAGTTTTGAAAATAGGTCTGGTTGAAATGTCACCTAGTGGCCAAAATCCTATTGGGTTTACTCAGTGTATACTGAAAATTATGTAACTGGTGTGCATGGTCATTTGAGCTATCTGTCATGACCTAGGGTATACAAATGTCACATGGTTGGTTGTGCACTTGACAGGCAGGCAGAAGATTGTGAAAACTATCACACAATTTCCCTTACAAATGCAATATTGTACATCATAATCATCATCATCATTACTGTTGTTGTGATATTTCACAATAAGATTTTGGCCACCATGCCTCAGGCTGTCTTTCTGTATACTGTATATCTACCTTGGAATAAGCCCCAGTGAAATAAGGATCACTTACCTCTGAGCAAGCGTGCAATTGTTCTACATGTTGTTTGTGTTTTATGTGTTATCAAGTTGATTCCAACCAATGCTGACTATAGTAGGATTTCCAAGGTATGTGAGATAATTAAGGAGTGGTTTTACCATTCCGTCCCTTCCAGGAAGTTTCCATGGCCAAGTGGGGATTTGAACCCAGGTCTCCTGAGTATTCTTGTACAGTACTCTTTCCATCTGCCTCTACTTTCTTATGATCATTGTTATATTTAGATTTATGTATCATAGATGTTGCTGTACTACACCTAGTAATTTTTTTGGAGTTTATATAAGCTCACCCTTTGCTTTGTTGAAATTTTGTTTGCAAAAAGCAGCCCAAGACCTTCTTTGCTCATATTGATTTTTTGAAGTGTTTAAAATGGATCTCTCTCTCTCTCTCTCTCTCTCTCTCTCTCTCTCTCTCATTAGATTGTGATATCCTTGGTAAATGGTCGTCCAGGAGCAACTAACTTCACTCACTCCCCAGCACTGAGAGAGTTTACAAAAGCAACAAATATCCGTTTACATTTCCTTAGAACCAATACGCTTCTTGGTCACTTGATATCTAAAGCTCAGAGGGATCCGACAGTGACACGCAGAGTGAGTAAATGTGATGTTTTGACAGAAAGAAAATCATACCAATGTGAAGAGGCACTGCATCCATGAGATCTGCTATTCAACATCTCCTGACTTGTTGACAGTCTGCAAAAATGTTTGCACAATTTCAGGGTAACTTGTGTGGGGGAAGACATTTCTATAGTATCATTATGGGGGAGGGCAGGAGGAAGCCTTGGCTTTGTACATGAAGAACTATCTATATTGCATATTGTATATAGTGCTGGAGCACTCAGTGAATCTTATCCATATTGCATGTTACATAGAGGGCCACAACACTCCATTAAACTGGTTAAGACCAGTGCCACCCCCACCCAGGCTGGGGGTGGCCAGGAAGGTCTTGTCAAATGGAAACTTTATGAACCCCAGATGTCTTATGATTGATGTTACAGAACTGGTCTTTGTTAGAGCTAATGAATGGAATACAAAGTTCAGTGGGACATTGTGATTGGGTTCTTGTTCTAAGTTTAGCATTTCCTCTTCTTTGACATGATTAACCACAGGAGACATAAGATCGTTAACAGAACATTTACAATCATGAGTAGGGGAAGGGTGCACAATAACTTCTGTAGGTCCAACAAAGCTGTTTAACATAGGCGAACTAGTCCATAACGTAGGCAGTCCCATCTGGTTTGTTCTCTCCCTTAACATGGTGACATCCCAAATCACTACTGATCATTTGGTGTCCTCAGTGGGGTGCTCCTTGCTGTGCATATGGTCCCACAGCATGGGTGACATGCCCACTCTCCTTCGTGGGGTGTCTCCCCAGGGGGAAGAGGTTCTAGCCATGCCACCTTCCTCCAGGGACCCTTCCCTCTCAGGTAAACATAGACTGTCCTTTCTAACAGGTCTAGCTCCCCTAACTGCACTTCAATACATGTTGCTCCACATCTGTATTTGTTTGTTTGTTTGTTTGTTGTTGTTGTTGTTTTACTTCTACCCCACCCATCTAGACCAAAGGTCTGCCTCCCCTGTCACTATCTCTTTCCTCTCTCTTTGGGAATGAGAATACATAAGGTTCTTCTCCCTTGTTTTGTCGTTCACTCCCCTTTTCACTTTCCTCCTCTCTTCTCTCTATCCACTCCTTTGAACCCCAACAACTCAACTCTCCCGCCTTTTCTTCACACTCTGTCATCATTAGAAAACCTTCCACTATTGGCTGCTCTCTTCCCGCCTTCTCTCTGGCTTAGCCTTCTTCAGAGACATCTCTTGCATTCTCAGGGGTAAATTAAGTAACACGGTGTTGCCTCCTTCCACCTGAGATGACTGAGGGGACGGATCACTTCCAGGAACAGCCACTTTAGTCGGTTCCTCTTCACAGACATCCAGTTCTTCTCATCTCGACAGTGCACAGTGGGGCTGAAATGACACCATTAGCTTTCCATCACTCTCACTTCTTGGCTGGGCCTGAGTTTCAATCATTGGGCCTGCTTAAACTGTGGCTTAGAACCTGGACATTGTGTTTGCAGAGTTGTTATATCAATTGATTGATTGATTGATTGATTGATTGATTGATTGATTGATTGATTGATTGATTGATTGATTGATTGATTGATTGATTGGATTTCTGTCTTGCCCATCTATACCAAAGATCTACTCTGGGCAGTTTACAAATTAATAAATTATAAAACCAAAAACATATACGGTAGGTCCAAGATGTTAGGAGGAACATTAGGAAGAACAACCTTCAGAACATGGCCAAAGAACCCGAAAAACCCACAACAACCATGTTAGGAGGAATTTGCTTGCTCGCCGATAACTGTTCAATGTGTTCTCATTCCAATCTTCTTCAGATTGCTTTGCTGCATTGTGAAACTCTGCATATAGATCAGTTCAGCTTTTTATCCACAAATCTTGTTTCTTTTGTCTAGTACTATTACAGTATAAAAGACATCAGTGTTGGAGGGCAGTGTGTTTGCCATGGACATGCTGAGGTCTGTGATCCAAAAAATGACCCTGATCTGTACAGGTAAGAAAACTTAAAAGTAAAATAGGCATAATGCTTTAAAAATGATATTTTATGGTTGTAAAATAATGGATGGAACCACTGCAATTCCTTCCTTCTTTCTTTCCTCCTTCCCTACCCCCCTTGTTATCTCAGGACTAGGCCATTTAGAATGCTATTGTGCTTCTCAGATGACTGTATTTGTCAGAAAACTGGTTTGTTTTGTACTGTTTGATTTATTCTATAATTAATTTATATTATTTATATCCTGCCTCTCTCCCTATAAGGGACCCAGTGCAGCTCACAACTATTAAAACTATACAGTGGTCAACAGGTTAAAAATACCATAGGAGCTATATTAAGAACAGTTAAACATTTGTCAGTATTAAAGCCAAGGTTAAAAATAAATTCTAAAATATTTTAAAAATTCTAAAATCTGTAAAATTTAATATATATTGCAGTCCTAAGAACCTCACTTATTGCTTAAAAGCCTGTTTGCAAAAGGAGGTCTTTGCCTGACAACAAAAGAACAAGAGGGAGGGGGCAACCTTGCATCTCGGGACAGGTCATTCCAAAGCCTGGGAGCAATCACCAATAAGGCTCACTTGTGTCCTCACCAAATGACCTTGGGAAGGTGGTAGAACTGAGAGAAGAGCCTCAGCAGAAGATCTTAAAAGCTGATAAGGCTCATATGGGGTGATATGATCTTTCAAATAATAACCAGAACATATTTTTATCCTATAATGGGTATACTGAGTTTTTTATCTGTGTACACTGGTGGAAAACATTGTGCTGGCAACAAGAATGCACACACTTTCCACTTCTGTATTGGGGGAGAATGGGTTTTCATACCCAATATAATATCTGTTGTATGAATCTTTCATATCTCTATAGTGAGAGCAGCAGGCAAGGGGAGATCTCCTATCCCTGAGACAGGAGGAGAAGTGCAGACACCTTCTATCTGCTTCTTTCACCTTCCCCATAGCTGCTAGGAGAACATGGTTCTCCTAGACACATTGTTTACCTTGTTCCTGCTGCCATTGCTGTTCCCTCCATTTCACTTTTGGGAGAGCTGTGAGGAGGGCAGGACTAAATGTATATCAGTTCTTTATAGTGCCATATCAGCGATTTACTTGGGCAGCCGACCAATATTTGACACTGAGGAATCCTCAGAGCCTGACATTTAGAAAATAGCTATCTGTAGAGAACTGTGCAAAGCAATGTCAGCTCCCTACTGTGGTATGAACTCTTGGCAGTCTGCCATCTGAGGAGGGGCAATGGCTCAGGACCACAGTCATCAGTATTCCTTCATTTGAAGGACACTCATTTGATGACTAAGACGTATTCATTTTGGACGGAGAAGTTAGGTGGTTTGAGAGAGGGGTCAGGGAGGCCATACTTGTGCATATAGAAAATCCCTCACTCAACAGGCGGAGGCCTTAGATACAATCTGTCTCCTATTTATGATGCTGCCCTTTCATCTGTCCCTAGAAAGATTAGAACCACACACACCAGAAAGGCCACTGTTAACAACCATTAATGATCCATGACAGTGAGTGGAGAAGGACTGCAGAAGTGGGATTATTCCTCACCCCCAGTAGTTCGTCCTTCTAAGTAGCCTATTCAGACTAGGGGAAAGTGAAACCAATATGGAGAATATATCAGGGATCTCCTACCAATTCTCCTCAGATTGAAGAAGCTACTTGGATGAGTAGTGAAACGTTTCATCCTAAGAAAGAAGTCCAGTTGCCATGGCTCAATTTCCAGATAACCTCACCTGGAAAGAAGTCCAGTTGCCATTACTCAACTTCAAGATAACCACACCTGAATGACTGAGAATCTTCACATATATTTCAGCAGGGATAGCTTGCATGACTACACCTGCTGAAATATGGCCATCCTAAACTTTGATGAGGTTTAAGCAGGTGAACTCCATTTCAGATGACAGCCAAATAAAATTTAATAATGAAGCCAATAAGCAGGGTGGGTGTTCCTACTAAACAAAGTGAGTTGGCCATCACAAAAGACTCATGTTTAATTTTGAAGAGTGACTTGGTACCAACCAATTCTTAAGATTTGTACACATGTTAGACAGGGGAAAAGATAAAATGATCCATTCAATGGAGAACAAAGCAGGGAAATTTAAATGAGATTTACTTAAACATCCAGGTACCAATGTGAATGTCAGCACAACACTTGTGGGGAAACCTGTGATCGTTGTTGCCCTGGATATAACCAGAAACAATGGCAACCTGCAACCACTAACAGTGCAAATCTCTGTGAACGTGAGTATTATAAAATACACTTTCTCCATGTTTAGAGTAAAATAATGGTTTCCAGTCTGAAGACCTAAGATTCTTAAGGTCAATGATTACCATGAACTTGATAGAGAAATGATTTCTTTATTGTGCTCTGTGTTGGACTGTTCCAGGCATGAGAAAGCACCCCTCCCATACTTTAGGAAAACCCATTTTGTGAAAGTACAGCTGGAAAAATGTAGGTGAAGAAACCATGTGTTGTACTTTTCCATCTGGGCTTTCACAGTTGCTTGTTACTGTCAAGAATTCCAGCTATTTAATCCGTTATCCTGAGTTAATCTTTATATAAATTTGACTTTTTGTGTGCACTTACATCAGCTTTCCCTGACCTGACATTCTCGAGTTTTATTGGACTACTGCTCATAGCATCCCCAGCCATCAATTGTGCTAACTTAGGTAGATTGGGAGTTGTTTATTTGGGAGGTTCCAGGTTGGGGAAAGCTGGATTGTCTAATCTGAATAATTAGGGGAGATGAACTTTAGTCCTATTTGTACCTAAAAATAAACATTATCTTTTACAGTGTTGGTATGAATGGTTTCTTAACAAGCACACAGTAAACAACAGTACTTTCTTTATGACCTAGCAGGGCACAGTCCTGGAACTCTGTTCAAAGGGCCTCTACCTCATCACCAAATAGTCATCCTTTGGCATCAGACATAGGAAAATGGCTTAAAGAGCAAATGCAAAGAGGCGTCTAGCTAGGCCAATAGCTTGAATCCCCACACCATTTTAGAAACCATGTAATGAATTCCTTACCTACATAAGATTATCTGGGATAGTGATTAGAATACTGGAGTGATTAAATTTTTGAGCTAGAATCTGGGAAATGCAAGTTCCAATGTCCACTAAGACACGAAACTCACTGGATGACATTGGGTCATCTCATGCATGCTGCCTTGAACTCCTGGCAGGAAAGATGGGATAAAATTGTAGCAAATAAATTTGTATAAAATAAATTCTGTTGTTGACCAGAATAAATTATAGTGGAATTCTAACTGGGCTGGCTTGTGGGAAGAAGCCTCTTCTACTCACATAAACAGTTTTTGTGATCACCCACTCTGCTGCTTCGTGATTCCTGAAATCTGCTGGTAGAGAGATCATCACATGATCTGCCAGCATAAAATCCAAAAAAAGAGGGCAGATAAGGGAGAGAGGAAGGGAGGGAGGATTCAAACTTCCTCCTTTCTAAGAAAATAGCCACTACATAGACTAGTTAGACCAAAAGTGGGGGTAATCCTAACCAATTTCCATCTTCCTTTGGCTGGAAGGGGTTGAATTCAGCACATCTTCAGTTGGTCTAGTGTAGGCTCAGCAGGTCCATAGTCATTTTGGCTGTTAGGACTGAGCTCCAATGCAGTCATTCTAGAGGACGTCTAGAACTCCAACCAAACAATCATAAAGTGCATAACATAGAGTTGCTAGATTAGGCATCCTTCAGCCTCGAGAGACTATGGTAACGTGCTCTGAATAGAGGCCTTGGAACAGTGTCTAGTGTGGCTGAGGGGGCCATTTCGAGAGTGACAATCCCTTCCACACCGAAGACAAATACAATCTGTCCCCTGTCCAGCTCCATGATTTTGTTGCTTTCTGGACTGCCTTTTTGCCTCGGTCTGCTGGACAAGTGTCTCTTCAAAATGAGAGAGGCCGTGATTGACTGCCTGCCTCCAGACTGAATGCTCAGATGTCAAGTTTTCCCATCTGTTAAGGTCCATTCCTAAGGCCTTCAGATCCCACATAACATAATGAAAGTAACATTTAAAAAAGTATTATTGCAAGACATGTTCCTCAAAAAATGTATGCATCCTGCAAATATACATATATTAGAAGATACATGCACAAATCTCTACACAAATAATTATCAGAACTTTTAAAACAAAAATTCTGTGTTCAACATGAAACAAACTTAAAAAATATTACACTTTGTATGTTATATGGAACTCTGAGATGCTAATTTCACTTGTGTTCTGTTGTTAATTCATTGTTTTAACAAAATTTAACCCAACTTTTCTCTCAGCTTGCAATTGCCATGGACATGCCACTGACTGCTATTATGATCCTGAGGTTGATCGACGTAAAGAGAGCTTAAATCTCTATGGGCAGTATCAAGGTGGGGGAGTCTGCATTAACTGTCAGGTAAAATCTCCCCTCCCCATAGTCTAAAAATAAGTGAGAATTAGAAATGACATCTAGAAAATAATTGCTTGCTACTGGAAAAAAAATGACCTATACTTCAGTCACTCAAGACTGAAAGCTAAGTTTTGGTCTCTGACTGTGCAACCATCTGCATAATTATACAGAAATAAGTACTAGTTGCTTGGAAATAAATTTCTCTACATTAAGTAGAGCTGTTTCTCAGGAAGTATCTTTAGGACTGTATCCAAAAACTATTAATCCCAAGCAATGCAGTACAAATATTATTTAATAGTACAAAGTAGTAATGGCTTTATGCCTACAAGAAACCCTTTATAAAGTTAAACGTAACAAGCTAATAGAAGTGTTGATAAATAAAAAATTTGATTGAAGAGTTATTTTTGTAATTGGCAACCTATACTGATGACAAAAAGGTATGAGGAAAGTCATTCGAAGAACATCTTTAAAGAGGTACTTGCAAACAATTGTGTTATTGTGAATTGTGAAATTATCAAGAACATGTGACATGACATGAGATAATACAGTGTCACTAGATGTCTATACACTTAGTTTGAAGAGGTTACCCAATAAAGCCAATGATGTACAGAACATAGTCTAAAAATAGTATTAACAAAGCCAACTTATTCAGTATAAAGCAGCTGAAGAAATGCAGTTAGATTCAAAATGTAAGTGTGGTGCATGTTGACAAACGTAAGCACTTTTGAATTTGGTTGAATTAACAGTGGCGTTATAAACCTGCAATAAAAATGAGCAGCTTTCATAAGATTAAGAAGATAGAATGCAACAATAACCTAAAACTGGCTTTGAGAATGTACTATAGTGCTAGGTATTCTTCATCCTACTGTACAGCATTAAATTGTGGACTTTCTTGTTTTCACTTCCCTGGAAGTAAAGAGGCAATTACATTGACAAATAATGCAAGAAATGCTCCATGATTAAGATGGTCTGATTGATGTTATTTTCCATTGGCTATATAATGTACAGTACAAGTCAATGTGAATCAGCACAGAGTTCCCCTCCAGTCTGCACTCCCCCCTCCTTGAAACATCTACTTTCTTTTAAATCAAATACATTTGCATTGCCTCAGGCAATGTGATTGCTTGAGGCAATTCTGAATGGGCATTCTGAAGCTGACTCTCCCAGCTTCCTTGTTCAAAGTGGGTAGAGAGGAAGCCATGGGGTACCAGTTCCCCTCAGCCGAGTACCTCTTGTCTCCAAACCACA